TTTCTTTCACCACAAGGAACCTTTTGTGAAACAGAAAGGTTCTTCAGATGTTAAAGGTTCTTTATGGAACCATTTTTTAGACAAAAGGTTCTTCTATGGCATCGTGAAGCACCTTTATTTGTAAGAGTGTAAATGTGAACATATTTAGAGGAGTTATGAGCGTGTACAGGATGGTAATACATCCTCCATTATTATCAAGAGAAATAAATAGAAACATCTGCTTATTTAGTTATTGCACTATATACATATATATATATATATATATATACTTGAACTTGGCGCTGTCTAACTGGGCCTGGGTTCACGAAACATTTTTTTTAAATAAAATCTGCATTAATCTGCAGGCAGCGCAGTTTCCATTGAACTGATCGGTATTCAGCAAGAACCTCCCTAACCAGATAACTGCCATTCTATTCTTGAGAAAAATAGGAGTGAAGTTCATAGGAAAATATTTCAGAACTTTCTTGAGAATTGCACTTAAGAAAATTCTTACGAACTTCTAGGAATTTATCTTAAGAAATGTCTTAAGAAGATTTTTGTGAATCAGGCCCCTGAGTTTACAACCAATATACTTAACATGGAGTCAGATAATGAGTGCGAATTTGGTCAGACGAAAGAAGGCAGGCCTATGCTTGGATTTCAGTGCTATGCAATTTTGATTTTCATTTGGTAGTCTCTCTTGTTGTTGTAATTAATCCTACAACAGCATGCACACAGTAGTAACATCCTTGCATTTGTTAGTAGCCTAGTTATTGTTTATCCATTGGTTCTATTTTTGATTTTATTTATGAACTATAGGCTAGCTTACATAACGCTCTATAACATTCCATGTGATCTACGCCGTCCTCAGCTTCCTTTTTTTAATCAGATTCATAACTAACTGAAGGTAATTAGGCCTATTATTATTATTATCATCATTATTATTATTATTATTATTGAATAAACACTACCCGTTTTAAGAAACTTCGTATTATAATAATTCCCATTCTTCCCACTTTCTATTTCTATGAATATCTATGAATATGAAAAGGTTTTACAAACAACTGTCTCATTTGGGATTTCTGTTTACAGGTGTTGCACAGAAGGAGTTGCAGGAACATGAAAGCTGCAGAGGACATGCAAGACTTTCGACATAGCTGCTGGGTAAGTATGTCTTAAAAAATGAGAGGGGTAAAGCTTGTGCATGGTGGACTCTAGGATTGAAGCACTACCAGGCCCCACTGGTCAAGTTTTTCCTCCATGAAACGCTTGTGGTCGGACATCTTCAAAGTCTAAAACAAAGTGTACTAGATTACTTTATGTTTGCTGTTTTGGAAAAGTCAGAGAGACGAGAGCTGATTAGATTTGCCATTAAGTATTTCAAGCCCCAAGAACAGTTTGTCTGGGGCCCCAAGAAGATTCTGTCAGGTGAGGTACATAGCAAAAGTTAAAAATTCAGTCATGCTACAAATAATAGGCAGCAAAGGGAGTGGACAGCAGGGACAAAATAAATGAAGGAAAAACATAAGTACAGTGCACTGATAAAATGTATGCCTTGAATGCACTGGAAGTTGCTTTGGATGAAAGTGTCATGTCAAATGCATATAATATAATGTAATTGTGAAAACAATGAAAGTGTAGAAGAGCGAGATGAAAAGATGATGAATGATGAATGTCTTCTGGTGCTGCTGATGATAATAGATGATACAATCTCTTCACAGTAATGTGAAGAAGAGATCAAGTGAAACATGACTGTAATATGAAAGCTACCAAATAAAGTTCAGTCTTAGAAGTTTTAAGCATTTGTTCTGTTTTTTTTTTTTTTACAGAAAATATATTGGAATAACTTTCATGGCTCAAATCAAGTGTCAGATTGATATATATATATATATGTTTACCATGTTTATGTATGGTAAAATACTTAAATTTGTGGTGATGAATCAAGGCTGCACTATGAAAATTAGCACCAGTAAATCATTTTAACATTTTTATGTCTGTTTTTATTTATTAATTTTTCATTTTTATTTTAAAGATGTATGTTGCTTAATTTTAATCAAGTAGAAACAGATTATGTGTAAGCACAGAGCAGAGGAAGTAACGTGACTGCATGGTTTCTATTTGAGACCGCAGTATCGCAATACGGAAAAAAATTTAATTGTGCATACAATTTACTAATTTGTTCCTTCGTTTCAAGTAATTGGGTTTTTAATTGAGTTGGGAAGGAATTATAGAGACATTCTCAAAAGCTAAAAGGCTTTTAGCTTTGTTGTGGTGGTACATTAATGCAAGACATGGCAACCCTTGAGATACAGTGAAGCTGTTGTTTTTTGTTTCGTTTCGTTTCTCCTATGTAGGACTGGTAACCAAGAAAGAATTGTGTAACAGTCTGTAACAGTCACATGCTGACAGCTATGAATCTGTGCTGTAGATAAACTGATATCTCAGCAGCAGATTATATGAATGGTCGAATACTTATATACAAATATGTTCGGAGGTTTCAGCCCCTATATTTTGTTCACCAAATTATGCCATTCCTATAGGTGGATCATTAAGGCCATTGATTAACAGTCTAAATGTGATGATAAACACCTGATCTATGTCAGACTTTAACAGCTTTAGTGTATTACAGCTCTACTGTTAAAGCCAATAGTCCCTCTACTGATAAAATAGTGAGACTGTTGAACAAAAGTAGCTCCTACGGTAGATATACAGTATCTGCTGAATCATTGAAAACGTATAATGTAGTAACAATAGATGGACGAAAACAAGTTTGTTGTTGTTTTTATCCTTCCATTACTCCTGCAATAAAAAAGACCGATTCCCTGTTGGCATATTTCGTTTTTCTTTCTCTCCATCTCCCCCTGTTGTAAGAACTATTGTACTGATGTTCTGTCTAGGGATTGTGTGTGTGTGTGTGTGTGTGTGTGTGTGTGCTTGTGTTTGTGTTTATGCTACATTGTAAGGACCAAATGTCCCCACAAGGATAGTAAAACATTTTCTATCTTTGAAGCTGCTTTTAGTGTGTGCATTTAAGTTATAACTGACTTATCAAAATAGGGAAAGGATAATTTAAGCCGACCCTAATTTAATGATTTAATAATTCAAACTTAAATGAAAAAATAAAAAACTTTTTTCTTTTTTTTTTTTCAACGTTTAAACATTTCAAAATGTAACTTTAAACTACTCTATGTTTATTTAACTCTTCCCAACAATAGAGGGCGCACTTGTCCTAAACTTTTGCTCACGAGCTGTCATTTCCGCACACATGCTAGTTGGTAGCTATGGTTACGGCAGGCTTCAGTTTGGAGCTTTGCTTCCGGATACTATGGCGTCGCAGAGCAACAGCCGTGGTTGTTGTAACAGTGTGAGGTTTTTGCATGTATATAGTAGCGAGCTTTTGATAAAGTTTCAGTCAAGTGACAGAGTTTGAGTTTTCTTTCCATGTCTTTGAAACTACATTAAATGGCCTCTTATACACACGAAGAGTTTGAACTCAGCCAGAAACAAGAAGATATGTGAGTCTTTTCAGTTGTACTCATCGGTTAAAAGGCTTCTCTTAGACCTATTTTTAATTATTCAATCCTTGTTATGAATCTAAACGGCTTAATGAATGTAATTTTTCTCATGTAGACTGGGGAAAAGAGCATTACTGCTGCAGCAGATGGAAGCGCATTATGAACAGCAGAAGGTTAAGAAAAAACAGCAGCGTCTGATGTCTCAAGCAGCGAAGGAGAGGAATGCTCAGATCCTTAAGGTTTCTCTACTGTGTGCTCTGTGTTATACATACACTGTGCTATATATTTATATGATACAATTATGTATTCCAAACTAGGTGCTTCACAGAGCTCTATTATAGTACAGTAGGTTGTTATTTTATTTATTATAGTCAAATTAACATAGAAGAATTTTTAATTTAATAT